CACTGCGATTAATTTATTGTATTCAATTATCGTAGAACGCACAATGTAATGCATTATAATAATAAAACAAACGAAAAAACGAGTAGTAAAAAACCAAAAAAAAGGTAACACTACAACAACAAGATTAATTATGTACCGTTAAATACGTAAATAAACGAAAAGTTGTTTTGAGCTAATACATAAATAAAAATTTTTAAGTAAAATATAGATGATGCAGAAGAAAGAGAGTAAGCGAATAAAAATAATATAAGAAACAAACAATGAAAATAAAGAAATGGCTTTCTTTATAAAGCGAACTTAATTAAAAAAATAGTTATTATGCTATGAAAAAAAAAATTTTAATTGCAATTTTTACTTTAAAGCTTTGTTGAAACAATTTGCTCTTTATAAATATTAGTGCATAACTACATATATACGACGACTGTAGTTAATGTTTCGTTAAATACATACTTGTATACCTACTATACATACATACATGCATAAGTACATCTAAACATATTTTCTTACAAACATATACATACATACACAAATTGGTGAAGGAAATGGTTTACAAATTCGAATTGCTTAACACAGGAAATGAAGTCGTTTTGTTTGATTCAAGAGCATTTACTAACACACATAAATACTTATATATTATAAAAGAAGCAAAATGCAAACCGAAAATGAGAAGTTATTATACATAAATGCATTTTAACTTGCAGAAGGAAAGAAATCAAACAACAAGAAAACGAGTAAAAGTCAAAGGGCGTGAACGACATATTTATTTATTAAATAAAAGAAAGAAAAAAAAAACAAAACACAACACATACATACATATAAATAAATAGTTATAGATAAGCAGCTAACGAAGCAAATGAATTCAAAGTAGCGCATTCAAGCATTAGGAAACCGCAGGCAAAACTATTATTACATAATAATAATTATAAATACAAAAAAAAAAAAAAAAATATCGAAACAATTGCTAATTAAAACCAAGAAGAAGAAGAACAAGAAGCAGAAAAATAAAATAAAACAAAAGCAACAACAACAACAGCAACAGCATAAGTAATAACGCAAAAACATGCCCAGAGGGAAAGCAAATGAAGAATTATTATTACTGAATTGACTAATTAATGAATTAATTATTATTATATTGTATTATTAACTGAAATATTTAGATGAAATGATAAATTCTTAATTATATAATATTATTATAGAAACTTAAAGTAACAAAAATTACAGAAAACAAATATAGAGAATATTATATTAAAAAAAAAAACAACAAAAAAACACATAACTAATAAAATGACCTTTTTACTTATGTAGAAGATTTCAGGTGGGAGAAGTAAGTATCCTTACTGAAACGTGCTTAAAGCTCGTTTTTCCAACACTCATATTGTGATGCATATGTATGTATTTCAATTACCTATGTAGTTGCCTTAATTCACGTTGAATTTGACGTTTTAAATAAGTGGCAACCTTCCTAATAAAATAAATAAATCTTTTTCAAAGCCATCTTTTGATAATATATTTACTAAATATTTGAATTTAATGTTTTAACAGTTGGCAGCCCCTTTCGTAAATATAAAACTTTATTGCTCATCTACAGACCAAACCTATTAATTTGCGCTTCCTTTTTTTTGGGGTATTGTCGGCCTTCAGGGTATGCAGTTACAGTTTCCCGACCATACTCAATCCCGACTCTTGCCTCGCCGTCCAACTCATTTCTTGGATAGCGGTGCTCCGATGCTTTGTCGCTTTTATTCACTGGAAGTCGTTTTTACGTGGCGAGTGCCAAACCCAGCGCACAACCTGTCGCTGGGAGCTAAGTGGTTTCTTAACCGAATACACGTTTATGTGGCGAGGCGCTTGCTCCAAGACAGTCTTACAGCCGCACCTATTGATGAACAGACGCTGCACACTTTAGTGAAACCTTAAACCACGACATACGTGGTGGCCCCACCGAAGCTCCCCCTCTTTCTGCCGTGAGCTACGGCTCCCCTTGGATTGGTTACCGCATCTCGCACATGGGTTACTCACGCTGCCCAGAGTATGCGGACGAGGACGCAAGGGTCGGGATTGAGTATAGTATAGAACAACTGCTATACTCATTGCACATTTTAATACACTAGTCGCGTCGAAATTTTCGGCAATGCCATGTAATTTTCTATACGACTTGACTCTCGAAAAGCGACTTGCACTTTGGTAGATTTCATATCTAAAAATTAAGCAGTGACGTGGAGAACATTTCATGATATCGGACTTCTCTTTGATTCTTCTGTGTGCGACCTCGAAATGTTTAGGTCTGATACCAATATTTCATTTCTACCTACAAACAAAGGATCAAGCAAACTGCGGGATCATGTTTTGCACGCAGTAAGTACTGGGGAGCGATAGGGAGCCTCAGACAGGCTAAACTTTTTGGATATTCTTTTGACATAAATATTTTGAAGGTTTGTCTACCAATCGCTGTCGTTAAGCTCAGCTATTGTTAGGACCATGAAAGTAACTGTTTCGACGGTGTCAAGGGAGGGGGCTGTAAGATGAGTGGGATTTAGCTCACATGTGAAGAGGTGGTTGGTGTCGTGGAGGGAGTCTCGTCTAGGTAAGAAACTGTTGAACCGTAAATGGGCCAGAGTAGCACGGGTCTCTCGTGGTAGTCAAAGCTCCGAGTCTGCAATAGGTGGAGATTGAAGTCTAATCACGGCATTCATAGATCGAGAGTCGTGATAGTAGGTGACCGAATCTCCATGAATACCGTTGATCACTCGTCGGGTCCAGTGGTTGGTCGAAGTAAGTCTGGACCACGTCCATATACTCGAAAAGATGCCTTCTGGCGTGCCTGGGCGGAGGCTCTTCCTCAAGCAAGAGTCTGGGGAGCTCACACCTATGGCATCCCACCAGAAATTGCTTACTGAGAATTTTGTTATGCTCCCTTACGGGAACTGATTTTGTCTCACTGTGAAGTTGGTGGTCTGGCGACATCAGAAGACATCCTGTAGCTGCAGCTTCGTTCGATACCTCCAGCTAGTCCCCGGCGACCAAACAAGCGCAGCATAGCTCAGAACTGGACAGCCAATTGCCTTGTATGTTGCCAAGTCTTTACCCCAGGTCCTGCCAGCCAGCGACTTGAGGATCTTGTTGCGGCTCTCTACTTTATTGACAGTTACGGTTGTGTGCGCGTAAAAGGAAATACGGCTACCAAAGGTGACCCCTAATCTTTTCGGATTTTTCGCCGTCGGAATTGGTGTGCCATCGACGCGAATGCCTAGTAGTTGAAACCTACCCACCTTAGAGCAGGTGGTGAAGAGGGTCGCCGTTGATTTCGTTGGGGAGGGTTAGGCTCCTTGCAGGGAAGAAGCGAGAAAGTACGAAGAGGTAGGCGTCTACTTTCGAGGAGGGGTCATAAATTACATTCCCAGACGCCAATATCGAAAAGTTTTCAGCGTATGAGATGAGGGAAATTCCCTCCAGTGGCAAAGGAAGCTTCGAGATATACATAGTTTTGATTTTGAAGTTTGATCACGAATGGTTACTAACCACTGCCGACCACAAGCCTCGATCGACGGCCTCTCAAACGTTGGAGAAAGTTAACGTTAGGAACCTAACAAGGGGATACAAAAGATCTGCTAGGTCGCGGTGTCACTTGTTTCTGTTGTACCCAGTAATTCAGCTTCATTGCGTAAGTCGTAAATTAGGCTAAATTGTACGACTCGACAACATTGGCATTGTCTACTGTCGTGCTAAAATAAGCAAAATGACGAAAATCGTCGAAAATTATGCAGTGCTCCCAAGTTTTTCCGTTTTAATACACTAGTCGAGTGGAAGTTTTAGGTAATGACGTGAAATTTTCGATACACTTCGACTCTCGAAAAATGACTTGCATTCGACACGACTCTCGCAATGAGGCTGATTAACTACAAACAAAGACGGTTTTAGCCCGATTTTATAATTCTTACAGCAGAGTTTAGCTCGATGCCGGCCCGACTCACGAGAGGTGCGGAATAACCCTCATGCGAGGTGTTTCTTCAGAAATGAACAATGATCGGAAGGATTTACCGACATAAACACGATTAAACAAATAGTCATTCTTAGAGGAAAATTCCGAATGGAAATACTGCTACGATTATGCATCACTTCCACAATTCAGTGTGCCTTACTTATGGTCTCACCAACCTCTAATACATATTTTTTCTACGCGCGTTCGTAGTCGATGACAAAAGACAGTTAATGCACCGAAATAATATTCCTTAGCGTAAGCTATAGATACTTCAGAGTTTTAGCAGAAAAGGACTTATAGCAGAACCAGCCTCTGCAATTCACTTCCGAGTGAATTTCAACCAAAGTCACATTGAATTCATATTAAAAGGGGTTGAAATTCACTCGGAAGTGAATTGCAGAACTTGCCCGAAAAACTCTAAAACCACGGTGAAATGTAATACAATTTCCATTTAAAATGCATATTTATTTTTTATCTATATTTATCTGTATTTATCATATTTTTTTTAACTATATATTACACATTCAATTTGTATATTTTCTTTATATTTTAATTACTATATATATAATACATGTACAAGTCACGACAAAAGCGTATACAAAACGAATATGTATGTATGTATGTACGTACTAATCTGCTATCATCTACATATGACTACTAACATATCCTATTATATTGTGTATAATACAAACATGTGTGTCTTAATATTTGCGTAAGTATGCATTTATGTGTGTTCGTGTGTACGCTGGTGTACGAAAAGGAAAAAAATATTATTTATTACATAATTATGAGTACGTACATATGTGAATGTACATACAACGTACACATTTCCACATACTTTTAAGGAAAATTATACAATATAAGTAGGTAATTGAGAATTCTCTAGAAAGGCCAAACTTTCCAATTAACTTTCATGAAACATAGCAAAAAAGAACTAATTAAAACTAATTTATATAGTAATATTGCAATCATTGAAAATAAATAGCTATTTTTGCTATACAATATTTAGAACGAAAAATTAGTTACAAACAGGTAGATTAAGAAAATTCAAAACACGTTGAGACAAAATTTGAGCTTCGGTTTTGTTTAGCTAAATTAATAGTGGCGAATTTGCAATATTAGAACATATATACTATATGTATGTATAACAGTTTTATACATTAATTCGTTGTGTATGCGAAATTTTTGCTAAGTTTGCTACATGCGTTTTTTGGCGATATTTATGTGGAAAGCGTTTATAACCTCTTTTTAAAGCTGTACAGAAAACGACTTTTAGATCTTGTTTTCGAAAGAAAGAGGTAATAAAATGCTCGATGCGTTTTACGATAACAAAGTCTCAGAACTGAATGACCAAGTCTGGGTAGGATTAGGGATGCACAGTGAACTACATATAACCAGTATGGAGCCATTTATCGATACAAAAACTAAAAACCCTATAGTCTAAGATCCGACAAGGGCGGTTTAATGGACGAAATCTGCTTTATGTGAAATTTAGCGTGTTAATAAATATTTCGCAAGTGGGTTGGCTTAAAAAAAAACCTGGCTAGGACATTTTTAATAAATCTATTCAAAAATTATTATTTTTAATTTTGTACTCATTTGTTTAATTAACAAATTATATACAAATCGAAAGTATTAAGCCTATAGAATGCGAAAACGTTGGGTTGTCTATTTTTTCTTGGCCTACCTATCTGGTTGGCATGTATGAATAGGTAGGTATTACTAGTAATTTTCACTCATCTGTTTAACACATCTATAGGCTTTAAGCTTTCGATTGGTATATAAGTAATTTCTTCATTAAACAGATGAATGCCAAATTAAAAAAATAATAATAATAATAATAATAATATTTTAAACACAAATTTTGTTCTGAAAAAAGGAAGGGCAGATAAATTTTAAAAGCTACTTGAGAAAACGGCACTTACTTAGAATGCGGATTCGCACAGAGTTCTGTGGTAGCTGTGTACACAAATACCCATCACCGGCAGAAAATCAATAACATTTTGCTTAAAATTAATATGTAGTGAATACTAATTGCTGAGAAAGAGTATACGCTCTGGATAGAAAAAGTCGAAGTAAACTGTGTTTAGAGTGAAAAGCTGAATAAATTGATACAGAAGAATTTGAACTGAATAATGAATTTATGATAAGAGGAGTTAAAAGTGTTATTTTGTTCTTCCTTTCGCACTTTCTGGGCCTACCACTTCAGATAATAAGGGAAATGACTTGTAGGGCGTTGCTACAACAGTCGAGCCTGCGTAATCGGAACGACACAGATCTATTTCTCGCCAACGACTGTTACTACAGCTGATTCCTCAAAAAGGTTTTGGAAACTTTTAGCAGAAATAAGTGAGAATAAGTAAGTCACAGCGGCAAAAAAAAAACATCACCAGGAAAAGGTTTACAAATCTGTATCGGAAAAGGCGCTAAAAGGTTGATGTATTCCTGTTGTGTAACTTTCTACTACAATTCAGCTCAACTTATTTCGAGAAAAAGTAGAGTATTTTTACAAAAATCCTTTCATACAACTTCAATAAAATTAGCGTATCGAGGAATTTCTGATAAAATTTAGCATCTTGATTTGATGGATTTTAGTACATTTTGGAATATCTTAGTAACAGATAGCCGAGAAGACTTTGGAGGTTATCGAAAGAACTATTCTATGCAAGATGTAGAAACCATTTCGGGTGGGCGGCGGGTTTAAAAGAAGAGGCTATAACCAACTGCACGCGCTTTTTACATAAGTTACATAGTTAAGAGCATAAAGATACCGAGTACGCGGGCTTGAGTGTGCATGGATGACAGTCATACGGTAAAAAGATCCTGCGACTCACAACTTATGGGCGTAAACTGAAAGCAAGGTTTTTGGTATCGTGCCATTACTGAATATACCCTTAATTTATAGAATAATTTGTTGTCACGACAAGCAATGACGGTGAATATCTACCCTGGGGCCGAATCGTAGCATCTTTGATCGAAGGATTACTCTGTTCTAATAGAATTAAATAAAATTACAACTGTTTTCCTGATTCGAGCTCTGAACTATCTCTTAGAGAACTACATTTCTTCAACATCTTTTGTAATTTTTCTGAAATATATAAAAGAATTCTCTTCAACCGCAAAAAGCCAACATTTATATTTACATGCATTCAAGTTTAGAATTCTTAAACTTGTGTTTAAGGAATACCCCCTAATAGTTTGTTGTTTCACTTAGGACAATTATCAGTAAATTCTGTAAGAGATTAGCGCGTAAAAAACTATTGAAAAAAAGGATTTGGAAACATTAAATTAAATTTGCAATTTGTAGCAAAAAAAAAATAGGATGTAAAATGCTGATGGATTTCGTAAAAAAAAATCTTGAAAATACAAGAGACTGAGTTCTTCGGTGACCATTCTCAATCACTTCGACACAATATTAATTTTGTAAAATTTTCACCCATGTAAAGAATTTATAAGAAAACGTTGAACTGCATTTCGTTTTCCTTTACAATTTCGTATAGCATTTTCTTTTTTAGCTTATCATGGCAGAGTGCACAGATCTGCATACATAATGCTTAGCCTTTTTTCTCGCTCTAATATCAATGTTTGGAAGAACTTTCTTTGACTGATTTGCGTGTTTTGAGTTAATCTCTTTTTTCAAAATCTTAATTACATATGTTTCTAAGTATAGGGTAGACTATTCGAGCACTTTTAAGGAAATGTTTTTTTTGTTGTTTTTCTTTTTTATTATTTAAATATACAGACACATGCGTGCGTGCGTCTAACTAGATTTATTGCTGAGCATTTCGTTTTTTTCTTGTTTTTGTTATAATAATTTTTTTTAATTAGTTTTTACAAAACATGCTTACATGTGTATATGGAAAAACTAAGCAGGCATTTTTTTGTTTTTATAATTATAATTATAATTCTTCTCATTACATGCAATTGAATAAGATTAATTAGACATACATAAGTCCAGCTTTCGCACGATATGTTGCAGTATAGCATTTTCAAGCTGTATGTGGATTTTTACATAGTTTTACATTAACATTAATTTCTTCTAGCATTAGAATTTTTCACTCATAATCCATTACAGTAACAAAATAATAAACGATGGTTTAATACAATACAAAATTTAAGCATAAGTTATAAATTATATCACAACAATAAAGACAACTGCGTTTTGTGCGCGCGTGCGATCAAGAAGTTACCATAATAATCATCATACACAGGACATAAAAAACGCATACATAAATGATCGACAAGCTCTCTAAATTACCAAACAAACATTCATAAGTTACGCTTATTTTCGTTATTACACTACAGCTGATTTCTCGTGAGTCATACATTTGTATATGAGTAAGTATTTTTTTAGAAGTTAGAAACACGCGTCACAACAGCCATTCCTTTACAATTCACTTTTCTGTTCGTCTATCCACTACTGTAGTCTGCATGCAAACCATCCGGCATTTCGGCGCTGAGCAGGACCCCAAATAACCGCCCTCCATCGCTACGTCATTACTAAATCAGCACAGCACTTGCAACTTCATGCTGATGTGAGGCCTTCTACCTATTAACAACAGTCTTTTGTTTGCTCCTCCCCTCTCTTTCTCCTCAAAGGATGCTGGCTAACAGTTACGCGCTCTCATTTGCCATAGAGTGTAGCAACTCTGCGGCGCATGCAACAGATACGACGGCAGCGGCAGTGGTAACGGCCATAATAGCGACGATTACGTTGACGACTTTGGCGACGTTGACGGTGGCGGTATCGGCGGCAGGATAAACACTGTTTCTTCTCCTCGCTTTTGCGGTGGCGAGGCTCACTGAGATCCATCATTTGGATTGTCAACATTGCTATGCCCGCCACACAATACTAACTTTTGCTAAGTGCCTTCTTTTTTCTTTGTACCAATATATCGTAGAATGGATTGTGACTAATGGACTGTGTCAGGCGTTTAATCCATTCTTGTTGATCCTCTTCGGTTGCCGCAGACATACGGTAAACAGTATGTTTACCTTCCACAACCTGCAGATTTAAAGAAATCAGTATATGGTGAGGTAATTAAGATATATGTAAGTGATGTTGCTTACCTTTCCTTCGGAGTCAGTCTTACATGCTTTGATAATATCAGCGCCACCGGTAGCAAACAATTCAAAACAATGAGGTTTGCTGCGATCGTGTATCTCACGTACCTGTAAGATAATGCATATTAGTAATGCAAACTTTAATTGAGGTAGTAGCTTTTATTTTACTTACACATATATTTTCCAGCGGTATAATCCCTCTGGGCTCTTTATCCGTGGTGTACTCGAAGTAGTACAGACAATTATCGTTCAATATGAACCAGCGTCGTTTCCAGGATTTATAACTGTAACATCAAAAAATTATCAATCATTTGATCTTTCTGAAATAGTTTGGCTTATGAGTTATTCTTATGTGCTAACATAGCTGATGCTCCACTTAAGTAGTATTCTTATGTGCTATTTGTAGTGGATTTATTAAATTAATTGTTTTTTGTACATATATCTTTGTGATACACTTGTTTTAATATATTTTTTTTGCGTTTTTTTTTTGTTTTTGATTTTTCACTTTTTTACTTTTCTGTTTTGATTTTTTATTGTTTAATTTTTTATATTTTGTTATTTTACTTTTTTATTTTTCAAATTTTTTTATCTTTATTTTTTACTCTTTTGTTTGCATTTTTTTTAGGTTTTTTGGTCTTATACTTAATTAAAGCAGCTCACTTTTCCCTATATTTAAACTTAATTAAGAAATAAAAACTCCGAATTATTTCTTAAAAATAAATAGTGTTTTGTCTTGTCTTAGAGTTCGAGTCTCTAACAGTGTTTTCCAGCTTTTTTCTTTTCTTTGTTCTAGTCAAATAGTTCGGTCTAGATGGCAAACAAAATTTGTTAAGCGCAACCTCACTCAAAAATGATGCAGACGTTCCGATAGCGCGTTCGATTTTCTGATATAACCTCGAAAGCATGTGTGTTAAGCAAAATTCGGTTTTACAAATGTATGACAGGAGAAGACTAAGGGCCGCCTAATCGGAACGACCAAGATTTCTATCTGGCCAAAGACTTAGAATTCAGAAGCATTCTCCATAACTCGTTGGGGAATTTTCATGCTGTTACAACAAGAAATAGCAACTACATGCCTTTAAGGAGGGCTCACTGTAAGCAGAGTTGCGCTCGCTAGTATGCTGTTGCCTATATCAAGTCGTATGGAAAAACATTTGGTGCTACCATATTTTACCAAGTCTTTGTCTAGCCTCTTGAGGGGCTGTTTTAAATGCCTGAGCAGGCATCTAAATTTGGGCATGCAGTTTGGTGAACGAACGCTGACAGCGTTCTCCAAAATTCGATGGGAATTTATTAAGACAATAACAACGGTAATAGAAAGGGCCGTCTCTACCAACGCTACTTGAACGATATTATTAGAAAGCATATCGTCGGTGATACTGCAAAACGGTCTATGTCTCTATTAGTACCCTTGACACTTACATGGTCTCTTACTTGCACCGGAATGCATCTGAAGATGAAGATGAACAATTGCCAGAAGCGATCAGATACAGATAATAGATCAATTAATCACCAGAGTTAATAAGAGACATAGAACGTTTTGCAGTATCACCGACGATATGTAGTTACAATTCGAGTACTTTACGGAAATATTAAGAAATTATTATGCTACTTATTAGCGCCATAAGTAAATTAGATTCAATCAGTGAAACGTGTTGAAATTTTTTTTTATATCGAATTGCGGACTGTATTGTGGACGTGTATGCATTATGTCTTGTCTCGTCTCGTTCGATTCTTTTTTATGGAAAAATAACCAAATGTATAATTTCACAAATTATGGAAAATTTGAACAGCAATAAATTTAAATTTAAACTACACTACTACTTCATTTAATCTACTAATTAATAACAATGAAAGACTTACCGTCCACCCTGCTTCCATAACCAGCCCTCTTTGTCTGGATTGAAGAATGTATGCATTAAATCATTACCATCATCTTGTGGTATTTTAAACGGTTCTGTTCGTATTGATTCGTAGAGGGATTCTAGTAGGCCGCGGGGTAGATCACCGCCGTTGTTAATGCCACGATTCATCGAAATGAACTGCTCAACGGTGGGCTTGTCTTTCACCTGAAATTAAAAGTAATTGATTATGTTTGTTATAAAAAAAAATAAAATAAAATAAAATAAAATAAAATAAAATAAAATAAAATAAAATAAAATAAAATAAAATAAAATAAAATAAAAATAAATAAAATAAAATAAATACTATAACGTCGCACGTGCCAGAAACATGAATGTGTAAAATTTAAAATTTTTTGGGAAATCAAGTTTGAAGTTTTTATTTACGAAACTTAACTCTACATTTATGCAATTGAAATTGCAAAATATGTGGTTTGTGTGTACGCATAGTATTCTAAGTTTCAGTATGACATAGAACATCTAAAGGTTAATCAAGTCAACCCAATAAGTCAAAACAGATAAATTTGCACAATATGAAATTTACTAGTTCTGGATTAGTTGGAAGTTTAAAGTAATTATTCCACCGTAGCACGGCAGTCTTATGAGACGTATGTAAAACTCTTCGCAAGTGGTAAATTGTGAATACTGGCAAATCCTACATATATTTTACGACATCTGTTTCGAGCATAGTGAACAACACCGAGGTAATATCAAATAGGTGTTTCTAATAGGTACAGTTTTAAAGTTCTTACTGGCTTGCGCAAACTTATATTTCATACAAACTTTTGCCGCCGGCTTCGCCCTTGTTAAGTTCGGTTTAACGTGAATATTTCAAATGTAACAAAACAAAAAATAAAAAATAAGACGTTAAAAAAATTTAATGAGGCGTGTTCTTGTTTTCGTACGAATCGAAAATTTGAAATTTTTGTGTAGAAAATGATAGAAAAATTTCATGATTTTCGATTCGTACGAAAACCAGAATAGGGCCCAATATATCACGTTTCGATAAATGGACTATTATAAAGTAGAAAATAATTTTCTCTAGACCCACAAAATTTCTTTCGATATGTTTTGATTAGAAAATTTTAGCAAAAGTCAATATAAACATTGGGATTTAAAATGAAAAACGTAATATACATACATATGTATGTATGTGGGAAAATGACCTCATCACACTTTTAACAAATTGACTAAATCGAACGCTTAAAACATATCCCAAATTTGTATTTGCGCAGTAGAAGTTGTCGGTCTATGTTATGTAGTTTGAATATTGAGTGAATATCTATAGCACTTCAATACTATTGCATTCGCCCCTAGTTTTTCATTTTAATTCTCCTTCTTAAACATCTTTTGTTTGACATGACAATCATTTTGTAAGGTTTCATTTTATTTATAAATAAAAGTTAATTTGACTTTTTAACAGGTGGCAACCTCCTTTAAAACTATAAAGCCGTTAAAACTACATACATATGTATGTTAATACTGAAAACTTGGAACTCATAGTTGTAATTTTCAAATTCATTTTTCTATGCAAGACAACAACAAAATGTTTATACGCTTGTAAAATTTTACGATCTTAAGGCTTAATTTATAGGACTTGACTTTTAAACAGGTGGCAAACTTCTTCAAAATATTTTCAAAATAAATTTTACAAAACCTCATTCGTTTGCCACCCATATTGCAATAATTCATCCTACATAAAATGAATTTGACATTTTGAATAGGTGGAAATCCTCTTAAGAATGTTTTCAAAATAAAGCTTCATTAAATCTGTTCGTTTAGCATCTATATTGTAAAATTTCGATGAACTTATAATTATAAGTAAAATTTCTTCATTTCTTTAAAACATTATGCAAAATTAATCCAGATAATCTATACCAAATTTTTTACAAAGAAATACCAACAAACACTCTTTCTAACGAACTTTCGCTTTTATAATATTAGTAGGATTTCATTTAGCTTGTCGATTAAGTTCTTAAACTGGTAGCAACCCTCGCCAAAACTATTTTAGAAATAGATACAGCATTTGTAAAACCTCTCTCGTTTGATATCCATATTATAATATTTAGTTTAACTTCTTATTTAAATTGATTTTAAATTTTTAAACAATATTTTTGGAATAAAGCTTTCTTAACTCTTTTTAGTTTGATATCCATTTTAAAATATTTCGTTTAACTTGTTAACTTGTTCATTTTCATTTTTTTAAAATGGTTGCAACAATTTGAAAAAATACACATTTTCGAAATAAATCGTTGATGAGATGAAACCTCACTTACTTACATATAGTCGATGATACTGCAAAACGTTCTATGTCACTTATTACCTCTAGTGCTTAATTGATCTGTTACCTGTATCTGATCGCTTCTGGCAATCGTTCATCTTCATCAGCCAAAGGTAGACAATTTTGTCATTCGTTTATTAGGGTGTAATGATTTGCAGATGTATTCCGGTGCAAGTAAGAGACCATCTAAGTGTCAAGGGTACTAATAGACATAGACCGTTTTGCAGTATCACCGATGGTATATAATTGTTTTTATTATAAAGGAAGCTGCTGTAAGCTTGAACTAGCGTAAGCCTTGCTGAGATCACTTTCGTCAATATTGCGAATAAGGCTACTGCTAAATGCAAGCGAAATTGTTGGACTAATCAAAGCTATGGGCGAGCATGTTTAGGAAGATCATCATTTGTTTTTTTCTTTTTCGTTCATTTTTTGTGAAAAGATATTGGAAATTAAGTAGAAATGTAGGTCACTAACCTTTTACTGTGCCAAAGAGATATGTATATGCGCACATATGTACATTTGTACCTAAATAAGCGAGTACATATAAAATTTTATAGTCATTTTTAATTGCTACATATGGAAAAGCTTCAAATCTAATCAAAACAGCTGCGAAAGTGCAACAATGAACGCCACACTTACAGATACAAACAAATTAAATGAAATGTAAAAAAAAAAATTGTTTAAATCGTTCTTGACCTATTTTTAGAATTAAGTAATTACTCAAAACAAATGAGATCACCAGACATCTAATATTCGAGCAAATACAGTCGGAGCATTTACATAGAGTGCAAAAAAAAAACAAATCGACGCGTAAACTAAACGGGCGTATGTGGGCGGAGAGATGAATGCAAAAGGCGGTTAGTAAGGCTTTTGTGCGGATCATTAGCAAAAGCCTAACGCATTCAGATGTAATTGGATTTGCAAAGTGTTTGAAGAGAATAACTAGCTTTAATGAATATCCAAAAAAAGAAACAGCATTTGATAGCGAACATTGACAGCCACCTGCTAGCCGAATGCTCGCCAAATGCCAAAACGCCATGAAAATGCAGCATGAGTTGCTATGTGCAAATCGCTAAAAGATCGGCACATTACTTAGATGGCTGGGGCGACCAGTCCCCCCTGCCAATGGCCGTCAAACACTGAGCTATAAATACAAAATTTCGACACGCGCATTATGTGATCGGAAGCGTGCTCAATAGAAAACAACACATATTCATTGAACTGTTAAGTACTTTTAGACGTTGTGCTGCATTTTGCTTTCAATAGCATCTTTTGGTGGATTGTTTTTTTTTTTGCAAAATTTAGTTTAAATGATTTCCGCTGGCAGCAGAGAATTCATGAATGCAAATACGTTACTTGCTTGCAGTAACTCACCGATGGATTGTGCAGTGATGTATTGAGCATAATTATGGCGAAACTTAGCACATAACACGTATCGGTGTTAGTAAATATATCCGGATTGAGTTGGCAGTAGCGCTGTGCGAAACATTCCATCATACGATCAATTTTCTGCGCCTCTCCCGGAAGCCGAAATGACCAGAGGAATTGTCTTAAAGCTTGCACCAATATTAGATTCGTAAAATCGTGTAACGCCACAAATGCCTTGAGTACATCCTCATTGAAGTCGTTCTTTTCGCCTAAGTAGTCACCTGTTAATAAAAATGCGTGTTAGTAAATGCTGATTTTCTTCAAAATTCGTATTTCATTTTACTCACCAATTGCAGTTTTGTTGAGGCCTTCTCCTTTATACAGGAAATGCGCAACATCTTGTGCGTCGTGTCGAAGCAGACGATTTTCTACTAAATATTCAATACCTGAAAGTTGAAAGAAAAAGTTGTTTTTAAAATAATTATAAGATATGGAGTAAGTTAATAGGTGTAGTAGAGTGGCTTTAAAATTTATTTGCCGATTTGAAATAAATTTTAAATGGGGTTTTAAAAAAATGGTGCAGCATTGTTTTGGGGCTTGCAGGTTTCCACAGAGAATGAGGATAGAATTGATAGTTGAGTTAAAGTTCTTTGGACTGAATTTTTACCCGCTCTGTTTAATCAACTTTAGGAGGGAGAGATGTTACTTGTATACGAGCGGGTTAGATACGAGTACAATGCTGTAAATAACAGAAAATCAGGTCCATGCATACATTTAGATTGATATTTGCCCTTTGTGAATACCTTCCAGGAGTGCCAGGAGGAAGTAGCTAAATTTTTTCAGAATATCATATTACAGATCAAATAGAGGAAGCCCGATAATTCTACTTGTGAGGTGTCGGCAAGATACCAGGTAATCTGATCGATTTAATCTCAGTAAAGCAAGCATATTCCTAAACACTGCTTCATTCAACTTAATGTGAACCATAAATGGCACCACCAAATTAAAGGAGTGTCTCTGATCGTTTCAGTGATTCGCAGTGCACCGCAAGTTATCCAAAGCACAATAGCTGAAAGCAATCCAAGGGAATAAAGACATAAAAGCTAAACTAAACCGCTTAAAATGTGACACAGATATAAAAAGGCATATATTTACATACGTCAACAAGAACTTGGAATTAAGTTGTGTATCACAAGAGAATTGTATGAACAGCATCAATTACGATCTTGATATGTATACCGGCATACGAAAGTACATAAAGGTGTGTCCGTCATGCCATGCGAATAGGCTCAAGAATAAAAATAACAATTTTACGTATGCATAAGTTAATATGTATGTAAATGTGTTCAATGTTCATGGTAAGGCCCTATAGGGAAATGGAACAACGAAGATCATTTGCTGTGAATAGGATGTAATGTCTCGAAGGGTTGAAAATGTAAATAAGCTGGATGCACTTCTACGTAGCGAAATTGCATATAAGCCGTACTCTACTATGTAGATAAGTATGGCATCCGCTTCAGACGGCAGCAAAAGCCTTTCAGAGTCTAGAAGCTTTCCAGAAATGCTATCATGGAGCAACACAACACAACACTCAGCGCGCCAGAATTCTCAAGTTCTTTGGTGCTATTAGCATGTACTTAGTCTCAATTCCTTGTCAGACTAACGTCACATTTTTTTCTGAACAAATGGCGATCGCAGCGGACGAACTGGATGTAACCCCAACGGCCAAGACGCTCAACCCTCTCGCGATTTTGTAATGGACGATATGAACTTTGGTCCAAACGACCTTCTCAGCAGCCCGGTGGCCGTGGATGCCGATATTGCCAACTTAGGCTCTGGTTCAAATGGCAACGACATTCAAATACACACAGCCGAGGGGGAAGCGCTCTTATTGTCACATCCAGAGGAGACTTGTACTCCTAAAAGATAAATTTTTGGAGCAGGTAAAAGGCTCTCCAATTTCTACCTCTGCAGAGTAGTCAGAGAAAACGACGCCAAATGGCTTGAAATTCTTCCGATGGCAAAAGAAAAGGACGAACTGGCGTTACTGACTGACAGTAAACTTGAGAGAAACCGCTCGGTGAACTCCACATCTTTCAATGCGGCAAACTCCCACAAAAGGAAACCAGGTCCAGCTGACAAAAGGGCCCATATGGGACCAATGAAACCTAAGACCAAGGCAACCTTTGCCGATCTGGCAGAGGCACCGATCTTTCAGGCGGACGTGGGTAATGGAGTTAGGTTAGGGTTACTCCCTAAAGAGTAACCTAAAATAGTTTGGTCCTTAGACCATCTACAGGCCATTCAGGCGGCCATCCTGGAAGAGCTGAGACGCTAGCGAAAGGGAAACCATATATTTACAAATGTAGTGTCGTAAAGAAGTGCTTACATTTTTTGAAAAAAACCTTGCTATAAGAGGTTCTTTGGTATGGGGAATCCATTTCTGCACTTATGTTTTTTAGAGTGGCCTTTTTGTTGTATGAAAAATTTGAAATGCATGAATCCAAAAGTTTTCGCACAGAATAATGTGAGGTTGGGGATATAAATAAATACGTAATTAGTTTAAAAGCCTTCAGGTGATTCCTAGAGGTTCCGGGTTGAGCTTTTTCGACCAAAAATGTCGAAATTACACCAACTTATTTTATTTTGCGTTTCTTTTTTTTAAGTATATATTAGAAAAATTCTACATTGTGCTTTATTTAAAATCATATTAAATATTATTATTATTAGATATTAAATGATATATTGATATAAATGATGATTTCATATTTTTCTCAACTTTAATATTATCGTGTACCATAGTTTTTCATTCAATGTCAGACTTTTTGAGCACTTTAAAAAGGTAAATGTATTCAGTGTTCAATAAAAAACAGTTCAGCAATAAAAAATTGGGTTTCATGATCGTATAAGCTGAAAATTTAAAATAATAATTTCAAGTTCAACATATTTCCTATTAAAAAATCAAAATGATAAACCCGGAACCACTCGGAATTTCCGGATTCGGAAAAAACAAATTTCATATTTATTCTCCTTGCCAACCTCACGTTTTTTTCGTGCGAAAACTTTCGGTTTTTGAAAATCGACCAAAAAAGGCCACTCTAATGTTTTTCTTAAAACTTCCACCAGAGAACGCAACAACGAAAATTTTCACATTTTCTTCGAGAAACCTATTTTCGCAATATGGCAAACCCCAAATTGATTTAAGACTCATGGTTTCTTCGACAAATTTGCTTAGAACTACACGAAGTATCATTCTGTGCTGCAAGCGTATAGTCGAAAAAATCTCACATACAAATTGACCTGCCGTAGTACACATAGTAAAATTTTACAAAGAATAATTTTGTAGAATATTTAATTCATTAGCTGTCTCACAAAAGGGTCGTTTTGGACATTTACGCCAAGCGAGATTTGCAAGAATGGATATGTGCGAGTTGAGCAGTCTAAGGTCAGTTGACAGTACAGGACTGAAGTGCGCTCACCAGAAAGATGAGTAAGACGAGCGAGACGAGTGTGACGAGCAGAATGAATGAAATGGTGAAGTTGCCTCCGATGAGAGAGACAGCACAGGAAGTGTGTTGGGAGAAGTTGTTCTGGAGTGGCAACAACACAGGAACTAAGGAAGGCGAAGCTTGAGCAAATCGAGCTAGTCGAGAAAGTCGAGCATGTGCAGGTCTGGCAAGTTGAGTAAGTCGGGTGAGTCGGGCAGGATGAGTAAGACTGACGGGTGAGCATTACACCGGTCTGTTCAATGTGTAGTTGCATTGCAACCGGTTGCCGAACCCATATTATGGCAGAGGTTTAGATGGGCCTCGAAACCTATCAAGGTGGTGTGTCCACCCCACACTGCCAATTGGTACTGAAGTACTTGCATTTTACGGCACTGATCAAGGCATTTGAATTGATCCGTTGTGCTTCTTGACACTGTGAGGTTGGGTCGTTTTAACGACAGGTACTCACGGATAAATCTCACACACGGTTGGGCGGAATTCCTGTGCTCACTTTACAAATCAGTTGCTATTGCTTCAGCGATTCCTAAAGGGTACTTTCAGAACACATTTTTTATTGCGAATGATGCAAGTTGCGATTGTATAAAATAAAACAAAAAACAAATCAACTCGCAGCGAAGGTGGAACAATTGTGGAATCGTTGAAATTCTATGCGAACTGACAATGGCAAGCAAAAGGCAATCAAATGCATGAAAAACATTTACATACATACATACATATGTATGTATATGTATACATGCAAATAGCGCAAGACCACATAATCCAATCCAGCTTTTGGAAGCAGACAACAAAGTAAACAAACAGAGAGATTAGTGGCTATCAGCGTATATAAATACTCGTGCAGAGCAAAAAACAAAAAAAACAATAAAAAACATGACAGCATACAAATGGATATGTATGAATAAGTAGGTGGGTATATATAGTGGGGAAGTCGGCTGGCGGTGCACAAATTGTACATAAGTACTAGTAGATAAATGAATGAACAGACATGCCGACACAGCCAGTCAAGCATTTGCGGCAATTAAATCAGTGACGAAAGCGCCATGGAGTGGTCTTCCTCCTCCTCCGGCCACTTCCAGTAATACGTAATATGTATGTATGTATGTATGTATGTACAACATGCATGTCGGTGATGGATGGCTGACGCTGGTTATTACGATAATAATAGTTTGGTGACGATTGCGCGAATTGTAAAAGAACAACCGTTACAATCATATCTGTATTTAGCTTATGTTTATATGCTAGTATTTGCAGTTGTTTGCAAATTGTGGCTATGTTGATGAATATATGTTTCGAGTGATTAAGTAGCGTTGAAAAAGAGGTGTGTCATCATTTCATATATATATATTTTTTTTTAATGTAAGCCGCTTGTAGAAGTGACAGCTGTGTTGTTTCACAGGAAATTCCTTTAGTAAGTATGTAAATAAGAGTAGATAAACATATAGGCGGAATTGTCACAATTTTTGTTTAAACCTAGACTTCATTTGTCATCACAGATTGACACTCAGTAAAGTTGAGCAAAGGGATAAAGATTTATATCGCAGCCAAAAAACACTGTAGATTAATTTTAACCCTTTCAAGAACATAAGCCTATACATTATTAAAAAAAAATCATGATTTTAATTGTAGGTTGTGAATCGTCGAAAAACATCATCGTGCACAGACAAAGCTCAGAAAATGACAACGACTAGCCTGAGCAGGCAACACTGGCGCGACGAGAACAACATTAACCGCGCCTATAGAGGCGCTTCATGACCTGCCTCCTCTAAACAATGTAGTCAATAAAGGGTCTCACTGTTTACAGCAAGGCTCTTCTCAGGCGACAATGAGGAAGACAAGAAAATCATACACGTTTCTACTCTCCGGTTCACAGAAAGAGAGGGAAAACTGCGCATCAGCTTTGTAGACCTATGCCATCCGGGATTGAATTCCGCACATAATTTTAAGGTCCCCACAGAATCAGCTGGAACAAAGAACGACCTAAACCTCGGAAGGACAACCCATATTTCGTATGCTGACGGCTCCAAGACTGACCACGGCGACGGAGCATACAACCCAGAATGCTCCGGTTCGCCAGCATCGGGGCAAGTTGAGTATGCCTTTCAGGGCCAGGTGCATGCTACTGAATTTTGTCTGAGGTAGTATGTAAAAACAGGGGTAACCAACAAACACTTCTGCATGCACTCTGACAGCAAAGCGACGCTCCTCGCTCTCGTTGCACACGAGATCACCGCTAAGCTAGTGTGGGACTGCCTGCAAATTTTAATATTTATCGCAACCAGGAACCGGGTTTACCTAATTTTTGAGGTACCAGGACACATTGGAGTCGTCGGCAATGAGGTGACAGATATTCTCGCGAGAAAAAAGGGGCTACGCAAGAATTCAAAGGCCCAGAAGCCTTCACTGGACTACCATGGAGCTCCTTAAGGCGAAACTATTATATCTGCATACAAAATGAAGCGCAACATTACTGGACAAGTACGGAAGGTAACAAATAGGTTAAGTTCTTCATGCCGGATATGTTAACAAGGAGAACCGTAGCAATCCTTCACCTTAGTAGGCATGGAGTAAAAATTGTTGCCAAGTAGAGCCGGAAACAGCAGAACATATTAATAGCCGTCATCGATTCGCATCGATTAGCGAGTGGCGAAACGAACGAACTCAATGAGGTGTAATCAAACTCCCTATCGTCTATCCGTGCTAGCTAACTTTGTTGTTGCTTTCACATGCACAATTCTTCTTTAAGCGACCGGAACTCAAACATAGCGAGCGAGAAGTGGCGAATCGATGACGGCTATTTATTACGCCCTCACTAGGACCAAACTTCGCCTCCTAGGATCACAGTGCCATGAAGCAAATGACCTAATTCGCATTGAATTAGGGGGCCTCGCCAGGTTTCTTAGCAAAAGTTGGATCAAAGAAGACCTGTAGCCCTCTTCCAAAATTAAATCTAATCCAATCCGATTGGGAATATGAATTTCCGCACTCAAGCCTTTCGAATGCAAACAAACTTTAAGTAGTTTATTAAGTCATTGCAGACCCTTATTTTTACGGAGTGACAATTGAAATTAACTTGTCCAACAAATCATTTCTGTCATACCACATTTAGCATTAAAAATGAACCAAGACAATTCATTTTTTTTTGTTTAGTGTTTTGTCATAAATGTTGGCCATCTTTCTCTCCCTCTAATTGCGAAGCGAAATGTCAAGAGGGTGATCGCGCTGTCATCAACAAAATGTTGAGCAAAAATCTGAACATCACAACATTAATGGCAATTTTATCACATTGTATGACGTATGTCACGCCTTGGAGGATGATCGGATTAATTAGCAATGAAATGAACTACATAAGATATGGGGAAGAAAATAATGGCATGGAAACGATCGCTGGCAAATACACTCGCATATATATAGTATATGTATGTATGTATGTATGGCATACATATATGTATGTATGTACATAAGTGTGTTCATGCTCATGTACTCCTGTAAATTTGGTGTGGGGACTTCGCACAGCAATAAACTAAATAAATGCGCATAAAAGCACTCACTTTAAATGCATACGATTATATCGACTGACAAATTTGACAGTTCGTTGACATTTAGAAGGGTTCGGCGCTCATAACTCGAATGCCATGCAACAGCCTACAAACTACATACATACATATGTATACACATATGCGCTCAAGCTGTATGTGCGGCTAATTAATTGAATTAAATTTAAGTAAGTGAAAAACGAGGAGAAAGGTTGAAGGAAAAACAAACGAAAATGACAGGAATTTCAAATTCAAACAGCCTGATACATGCATGTAGTAGGTACATACATATGTACGCATGTTTATGTACGCGGCAGAGGCGCGAATGACACGCCTTAATCAAACGTGCATGCAGAGTAGATTGCAAGCAGTTTTCTTAGTGCGAGTGACGCAAATTATTTGATACTAGTGTATTAGTGTAAAAGGGTGAAACCGGTAGATGCTAATGAAATATGGAAAATTCTAAAGAATCCAAGTGAATTGCTCATTACAATATATTTCCATAAAGATGCAAGCACCAGTTTTTTTTTTATAAAAAATAGCTTCGTAACTAAAAGTGAATCATTTTGAACTTAAAAGATTAAAAATAGATTCACACTTTGTAAATATTTATAAAAAAAGAGAAATTTTGCATTAAAGCAATGACGTCTTTCAAGCCCGGATGAAAATAATTAATTTGTATACACTTATTCACAAAGTATAAATAAAGCATAAAAATTAGGACTGGACGATCTAACCGGATTTTTTTGGCTATCCGGATATTCGAATATCTGACTGAAAAATTCAAACATCCGGATATCCGGTTAATTTCCGTGCATATCTGGATATACGGATTCTTTAAGCGGATATTCGAATATCCGGATTATTCGGATATTAAAAAAAAACAGTTGATATGCGTATAACTAAATGAATGCAGGAAAAATTTCTTTATGTTTGAGAACTAGTGCTAAGAATTCGAACGGGGTATTTTGACTATCCGGATATTTGAATATCTGATTGAAAAATTTGAACATCCGGATATCCAGTTGATTTCCGTTCATATCCCGATATTCGGATTCTTCAATCGGATATTCGAATATCCGCATAGTAAAAACATCAGGTTTAAACAAGCTTACGCTGAATCCGGATATTAACCGGATATCCGGATTTTATCCGTACACACGAATATAAGAAAGGTTATCCGAATATCCGCATATACGGAGAATTCCATCCCTAATAAAAATGTTCTAAATTAAAAACAGTTTCGATCACCAAACTCGCGAAAAATCAGAATAGAGAAATCTTCAAACAACTTAACATGAACTAGTTTCAAAATTAATTAAAAAGAAGTGATTTAAAAAAGTAATTTTTCGCCAAAAAACAAAACCGACTTCAATTTACATGTAAAATTTTAAGAATACCATTAATTTCTTCATGATTCAATGATCGGATCTAAACAAAATTAGTATGGGACCACCTCTGCGGTACCACCCTTCCAATAAAAAAACGGTTTATCGAAAACAGTTCGGGAAGACGTGTGGCACGCTTATTAAACGAAAATTTATTCTCAGTAAGTACTCAACATTGTTATGTCCGATTTTATATTACGATTCCCTTGTCTGGTGGATAGCTTTTCAGAACCAGTATAACCATGTAGAACTAGAAAGAGTTTAGAGAGTCGCAGATGTCGGGACTATGGGGGTAATTTGTCCTCAATGTAATTAGAAACTTAATTTCCATAAACCCTCATATAATGTACAACGCTTCAGTTTTTGCTGTAAGATTCTTCTGAAACGTGGTGTATGGAAGGAAAAGACAATCGAGTATAGTAGTATAATTTCTCGGTTTACCGTCCCAGATTTGACAGAGTACCGATTATAAACGCCCTGAAATGGAATTTGGCAGGCTACTCGAGCTCCCTCTGTAGTGGGAAGCCGCGACCTAGACGGGAAACTTTACTCCTCCGCCTGACCACATCAGCTGTAATGACTACAAAATGGAACGCGGAGTTGGGGCAGGCGTTTTCTCCCAGTTCTAAGATATAAGAAAATCAATCCAGCTGCCTGACTTTGCAAACGCTTTTCTGGCAGAAATATTTGGTATCGCTATAGGTTGTCGACTTTTAAAAAACTAAATGTTAACGCAACCCTTTAGAGGTGTGGTTTGCCATGTTCTCGGACAGCGGTCTTGGTTAAGTATCTAGGAAGTTAAGGTCAAATTGTTACAGAGGTAAGTAAGAGGATAGATAATATCTCAGTGATGCAAACGACTAAAAAGAGACTATATAAAACTTGTCTAAACTTTTCACAATTTTTAAAAATATTTACTGCTAATTACAAGTCTGTTTGGCAATTATTTTGCATAGAACTTTTTCTTTAACTTACTTTGTTTGTGTTTTACTAATACAAAAAAAATTAATACAAATTTAATCATTTCATTTTATTTACCTTTCTTTGGATCCATATTGAACTTTTTCCGCCCAATGGACATTTGTTTCTCTTTATTGGAATGTTTACTATCTTCGGGCACGTCCAGCGCCTCCATTTCCGATACCACCTCACCAAGTTCATCTTTGATTTGCTGTAAATAAGAAAAAACGTAATACGAAAACGTTTATTATTGCATCGGCGAAATACAAAGGATGATTTGGGCGAATGTAAAATAAATTGAAATTACAAAAGTGGCGAATTGCATTTCCTTTCGCCAATGCATGTACATCAAGTAAACTGTATACTTGTAAGTGCTATTATTTTGGAGAATGCCTGTCAATTAAATTAGCATTTTTATGTAAATCTGTATGTACGCTAAAGCGGAAGAGGAAGAAGAAATTTCTGGCAAATGAAACGAAGACTGTCGTTGAATTTTTAAAATAGCAAATGTACGGAATACTAAATTGACATTTTAAGTAAACAGAAATGCGAGTGTCGCCAGCAACGCAAATAACGAATGCACTTCATTTTGCAGTTAACAAGCAGAGAGGGAGATACGCTCGCCTTTAATGGGTATTAAATGAGGTGGAGCATGAGGGTCCCTCTTAAAGTTTATACTAATTGGCATGGAATAACGGAAGAGATTTTTTTATTGATATACGCAAAAAATTATTTTGCAAAATTTTCGTGGACTTCTTTTTATTGTACTAACTTCTAATTAAGTAATTTTTAAGCAAAAAACAAAAGCGAATCAATGATCGAATTATAGAAATCGGTTAACGTGGTCCAATGTTATGCGGTCATACAAAAATATTCCGACAAATTCTTAGCCTCCTCCTTTTTTTTTTTGATCTCGATTAAAAACATCGATTAAAAGCATAGAAAATTTTTTGTTGTAAAATTATATATATTTTTAATGATTGTTTTTTATTTTAATTATTTGTATCCATTTTCATTTATTTTTACAATGTCTATTTATTTTTATTTTTTATATTCAGTTTTGTTTTTTCTATTTATTTTTGTTATTTCTATTTATTTGTATTATTTTTATGTAACACCGTAGCGGCCATTTCAGAGATTTTCTAACAGTTAATCTTTGAAAAAAGTATTACTTAGCTTTTTACTTTTATTTTTATCTATCATTTCAGATTGCCTATTATTTTCATTTTTTGTTATTTTTATTATTTGTAATATTCTTTTTTTATTTAAGGCACTAGCTGCCATTTAAGCGATTTCTTTAACCGCTAACTTTTGAAAAAACGTTTTTAGTGCTTTTAATATTATTTAAGTTTTTCTAATATATTTATATTTATCGTTTTAGTTTTGTTGCATTTATTTTATTCTTGTTCATTACTTTTATCCATTTTTTCATTAATTTTATCTATTTATTTCAATAATTTTATTTATCATTTTCCATAATTTTTTATTATTTTTTTCTTTACGTATTTTTATTGGTATTTCTTATATTTTACGTTTCCATTATTTTTTTGTTATTTGTATTTATTTATGTTTTTATTGCATATTTTTATATATGTATATATTTTTTTGATTTTATATTTTTCAATTATTTCTTTTAAATTAAATAAATTAACATTATTTTTTCCTTTTATAATATGTATGTATCTACACTATCTGATTAAGGTCATATGTATATATATTTTTTTATTTCGCGAATTTCTTTAATATTTTATTTTTAAATTTATTTAATACTTTTTAGTTTTTCATTTCTTAGATGTTTTATTTTTTATTTTTTATTTCTGCATTATTCCTTTCATCTCTGCAATATTTTTAATTTGTTTTCGTACTTCGGTATTTTTTGTTTAGATTTTTTAAATTTCTAATATTTTTAAAATTTTTTAATGCTTTTTAAATTTTTTTAATATTTTTAAATTTTCATGTTTCATTAAAAAATTTTTTATTATTTTGTTTTTTTTAATGTTTTTGGTTTTTTTTAATATGTTTTATTTTTTTTTTAATATATTCTTATATATATGTATATTTTTATTTCTTTTAATATATTTTTTTAGATTTTTGTACATTTTTATGTTTTTTAGAAGAGGTTTCAGTTTTCTATTAGTTTTTTCTTGTATACTTAATTTTTATTATAATTTTTTAGATTTTTCATTGTTGCTTTTTTTTGTTTTTTCCCCATTTTTGTTATTATGTATCTTTTTTAATTTAATTAAAAATTTTTTAAAGTAGATATATATTTTTAACTTATATTATTTCTTATTGCATTTAATTTTTTGTAGGATTTGTTAGATGTATGTATAACTATAAAAAATATTAATTTTCTACAAACAATTATAAAAAAATAACTAAATCACAAACCGTGCTTATGAGTAAAGGGGACCATTAAGAAACATGTGCTCTTTGGTCTTCAAATAACTTTGAAAATTTCCAAGCCTTGAAAGGCAAACGATTAGACGATTAGCGTACCTATATGAACATAGCTGAAAAATATAAAAAATTTTAAGACTACCCTCGTAATGGTTATTTATTTTGTGGTTTTATTACATATCTCATTTGCGTAGGATTTCACAAACGTGCGTATCAAAGAGCGACTACAGCAGCATTCTAAATTAGTTCATTTCCATGAGGAAATTGAATCTTACACTTTCTACAAAAAATGTAGCGCGCCAAAAATACAGTATTTACGCATAAGAAAATAAAAAATCAAAAAGTGTGAAACAAACAATTTCTTATTTATGTAACTATGTATATGCACATATAAAACGCGAATTGCGTATAGTAAAAATATGATAAGCAAGCGTCGAAGAAATATTAAAACAATTCCAACATACAACAAATAAAGACAGATAATACGAACGGCTACTAAGTACACTGATAACATTGATGTGACACTTGAATAGGTCAGACGCTGTCACTTTAACGCGGTAATTTACCAATTTGCGAGTAGCTGAGACATCTCGTTCATATTTTTGCATAATTTTTTGTTATTTTTTATAACAATTTGAGCATTTATTTCACACAAATTTACAATTTCACCTCGTTCATAACCTCAACATAATGACAGTTGAAGGTATCGATGAATGCAGCGATGACAAAACAATGCACACAATTCAGCGTTAAAGTATATGTATACGAGTATATACATACATATGTACAATGAATTTGTATGAGAAAACTCACAACAATGTACATATATGTATATTTTTATCACTATGAGTGTGCTAAAATTAATGGAATGACAGCGCCGCGTCATGTCAAGACAAAATGCAACTATGTGCGCATTTCCTCTCGCTTCTTATTTGCATTTCATTTGTTGAGAGTGTTTCTTATTGCACAAACAAATAAGTATGTATGTATGTATACATATATAATCAGATGTAAACGTTTAATTAATTTTTCCGCTCAGCTGTAATTGTACGATTTGAAGTATATTATCATAATCGCCTTCATTGCATCCATAATTATTCATAGCCAATTTCGCATGATAATTTAATTATTGCAGCATCTGAGTACACTCAAGTACTGATTGCGTCTACAAGGTGCTGCTATGTTGGGTCCATTGACTTCCAGATGCTGTAAGATTGCGCAATGTACAGTGGAGGTAAGGAAATTGATGAACAATTTCAGAATTTGAACACCTTGTATGGAAGAGAAAATTTTAATAATTGTAAAAAGATGAGAGTGGCGGCCTCTGGAGCAGAGGTGCAAGTAAATTAAATTAAATGCGGATGTGTCGAAGTCCGGCTGTCGATCGAATTGGAGGAAGTGTGTTCTGTAAGGAACTCTCCGTAAATTTCATATTTAGGTTGACGGATTGTCGCAGCTTACGTCAGGCAAATATGACCGCTTCCTTATACATTCAACCAACTGGAAGAGTAAATATCTACTCGGACAGCCAGATGGCAAACAGGGCTCAAGGTTAAACCATGGTACGATCGAAACCGCTCGGGAAATGTCTGACCTCTCTTCCGCCGATCGCTTCGGTTTACTCCAAAATCAAGGTAAATTAAAGTCTCAGAGCATAGTGCCATTGTGGAAAACTGCATGGCTGATGAATTGGATATTCTCATCTCTTCCTTAATCGAGAGTATAGGCAACCTGTATATTGATTCTGCAGAAATAGGCTTATAGTCAAATCAACGAAGGCAGAGCGAAAAACCCCTGAGATGCCAAGTTGCAAAGATTTACTGGCCGATAGTCGGCCGCAGAGACGGCCTAAGGAGCTTTTTACCTCACACAGTTGTCCCTAACAGAGCTTTTTCGATTAGGAACATCTTCGAACCGAGGGGTTTAGATAGAAGTCTAACATCAATGGAAGTTGTATGTCGTTGGACCTAAGTAGCCCTTCCTGATTAGAGTGCGTCTTTATATACAAACTCGATTACTTGACACATACCCCAAATATTAGAGCGAGTATCCCTAAACGTTGAGTATTGAACTTTTACCAGAATTGTAAACTGGAAATTGAAATTGAAATTGATTCAACACCGAGTTTCCAGATAGTAAAAGGAGACCTCTCTCGTTTGATCTTTAGCGTTGGAGAAAAAATATGTAGGTTTTAGCTAAGTTTACTTGATGTGTATCCTATACTCGCTCAAGTTGGAAATGATATGTAGGCCATTCAAATAAGGTGAACTTATTTTAATGATAATTTACTGTATGTGTTCACGCTTGAAGCTGTGATGATCTCACCATATTTATCGTAAAAAGGTGACGACTAATGTATTTATATTGTACTTCGATGACAAAGGAATTCTAAATATGCTTGAAAAAAAACTACATACGAGTTGAGTTGGGAGAATACAACCAGAATATAAATACCTACAAACATATAAACATGCAAATTATGTGGGAAAACCGCGCAATATAATAATATTTATAAATAAGCGATTTGTATTGTTCAAGGAATTTAAGAGAAAATATATCAATTTAAGTGGTTAACTTTTGAAAGCCGTCTACTGCGAATTTCGTAGTGAAGTGATTTCAGTTTTAAAAGTAAACAAAAAAATATATATATTTAAATAATTAAAAAGTGAATTCCAAATTAAAAATGTTAGAATGTAAAGCAAAAACTGAAATAAAACGTAAAATTTAATATAAGCAAATCAATTTGCAGAGCAAAAATTATTTTCCGTAGCAAAATTTAAATTGTTTGCAAAAACTATTTTACTTTTAAAATGTAAAAATTTTAGTCAAATGGACCTCGGATTCAGATACGGCGGGTCCAAAAAAAGTCGGTAGGTGTGTCTGGTTAAAAGAACATACTCCTTTTTTGTGTTCCGATGAAATTTAAAATTGCGAATAAATAACCCAAAAAACATGAAAAAAAAAAAAATTTTCAACAAAAATTTTAATAAAGGCTTACTCGGAATTGGGATTTTTTTATTTTTTTATAAAAATAATGTTTTTTGACTATAAAAATACAAATTAAACTTTGCAAAAAATCACAAGTCTCCAATTGTGTTAACATACATATGTATGCATGTTTTACCAAAATTTAATACAAAGAATATATTTTTTTGCAGAACAAAATTTATTTTCATTAAAACATTTCATTTTTTTTTAAAAATTAGATTAATTTCGGAATTTAAAATGTACTTATTTCAGTGTCAAAAAAATTTAATCGCTTTTAATAAATCGATAATTGCAAAAAATAACACAGATTTAAGCAAATTTCGTTCAAAAAAAGTTAAATTTTCAAAACAAATTTATTATTATTAATTAATTTCATTTTTTTACTTAAATATGATTAGCTTTGCAAAAACCAAACAAAATATATGCTTGGAAAAATAAAAATTTACGAATGTTACATATTTAACAAAATTCAATAAAAATTATATACTTATATTTGCGCAATGACAATCATTTTCAGTAAAAAATATATATATATATTTTTCGCAAAACGTATTTTACTTTTGGTATATAAATATTAATTTCAATGAAAACAATTTTTATTTTTAATAAGAAAAAACAGTTTACATGTAAATTGTTAATTAAGCATTGCAAAAAATATGACAGATTTAAGATAATTTCGACTTGATTGTTGAAAACAAAAATAGTTAAAAGAGTTAAAGTTTTCAACTAAAAAATTTTATTTTCCAAGCATAAATTTTTTTTACTAAAAAGTTTTTTTTTTCGCTCAATATTTAGTTGTTTTTCTTCGAAAAAAAATATTTGTTGTTAATGTTTTCTTTTTTTTTAATGTAAGCTAAACAAATTAAAATTTTCTACTAATAAATTTAATTGAATAGTTTTCAACAATTTATTTTACTAAAAGTTGTCTCGATAAAAAAATTAAGAGTTTTTACATTTTTCTCAACATTTAAACATTTAAATTTTTGAGTTGAGTTTTTCAATTAAAAATAATTATTTTTTTATTTATGTTCGATTATATTTCTTTTGACAAAAATTAATTTATAGCATTTTTTAGCACAAATTTATTTTTATACCCGAGCGCACTTGTGCACAAGGGTATATTAATTTTGTTCACATAACGGTTGTTTGTAACAGCCAAAACGGATCGAGATAGATATAGACAAATGTATACGTAAATGCACAGAATGAATAGAGAAATCGATTAAGCCATGTCTGTCTGTCCGTCCGTCTGTCCGTCCGTCCGTGTACACGATAACTCGAGCAAAAATTGAGATATCTCAACGAAATTTGGTATGTAGGTTTCCATTAATCCAAGGTAGGTTGGTATTGAAAATGGGCGAAATCGGACTGTAACCACGCCCACTTCCCATATAACGGTAATTTCCAGAAATACGAAAACTGCGATATTTTAGTAACTACTGAAGATAATTCACTCAAAATGGATATTTACAATAATTTTCAGACGAAAAATATGAAAATGGGCGTAGCCACGCCCACTTATGGTTACATGTGTATATCTTGGTAACCACTGCACCAATTTCTTCCAAACTTGGCACAATTGTTGGCCTTGGTGCAGCATACTAAATGACCGAAAATTTTAAAAATCGGACAATAACCACGCCCACATCCCATATAAGGGTAATTTAGAGAAATACAAAATCTTCGATAAATCAGTAAATATTAAAGCTAATTTATTCAAAATTTATGCTTGCAAATACGTTTATGGTAAAATTTTGGAAAATGGGCGTGGCACCGCCCACTTATGATCACATATATGTATATCGGTAACCGTTCTACCAATTTGTACCAAACTCGGTTTTTTTTATTGTGCTTGCCACATAAAAGCAAAACGTTGAAAATTATTGAAATCGGACTAAAATTACGGCCGCTTTTCATAACATACATTAATTTTTTTACCAAAAATTTAGTTTTCTAACAAAAATTTATTTTTATAACAAAAATCTATATTTTTTAACATATTATTTTTTTGCAAGAATTATTTTTTTTTTTAAGAAGGAACTGATTTTTCTGCTAAAAAAACTTTAACTTAAGGAAAAAGTACCTAATAATTGAATGCAATTTTTATATTTATATAATTATGAGTTATATTTTATATAATTATGAGTACATACATATATAGATATGTATTTGCCAAATAATGTAATTTTAGCGGAAGTAAAAAACTGAAAGAAAAGTTTTCTTTGATTTGGTGCCTCTCATTGAAAAAAGACAAAAAGCCATTTAATTCTGTATTTTACCGCTTTCACTTCAGCATAATATTTAAATATTTAATAAAGTGTTGATGATCTATTATTCAACTACGGCCGGTTGGTTTCCTTCTTTTCAACTTTTGGCACAATTAATTATTTTTTCTCTGCGTTTGGTAAGCATTGGCTCCTTCTCATACCCAAAATAACACATTTGAATCACTACCTGTGCTTTCCGCGCTATCATCATTTCATCATTTCTGCGTTTGAGCACCGCCTGCTCAGCACAGCTGATCGCTGATAGTTAATTAAAAGTTATTGAACCAACGCGTTCGCGCTTAGCTCATTAAAGATGTACAGAAGTGACGCTCTTCGCTATTCAGCGCTATACAATCAAAAACTCACACTGAGCTGCACAACGCAGCGGCCTAGAGACGACGACACGTACAAACGTAACCAACGTAACGTGAAACCTGTTGTCGACAGTTTTTGTTAGAATATACGAAAAAAAAAACAGGTAATTGATCAAAGTTTCACGCTAAGCTGCATTAGCGAACACCTCTCAACCGGTTTGTCAGCGTTAAGAATAGTAATAAAATACGAAAAACATAAATTTTCATAGCAAAACAATTATAAACTATTTTAATATCCCCTTCTACGAAGCGGTTAGCGCAACTAATTCCTTTCACACCTCTCCTCACGCTTCCGCACTCATACACCACCTACCAAGTGACACCGTCACAAAGGTATCTCTTAACTCTTAACAGATTCTCTACATTCTAGCTAAACTTGCCTACCTTGTTATTATTGCGTAGTATCACAGCATTTTGCGCCGCATTGTTACGGTTTCGCACCAAGACATTCCGGCAGTCATCACAGAGATAATTGTTGTTGTCATAACCGTTGTCACCGTCACCATTGCCACTTAGATTCAATTGTAGACCTTTCACAATGGCTTTTGTTGCATTGCAACTTAGTTTATTTTCCTTGTTGTTGTATGCCGTGCGCTCCGTTTCACTTTGTGACGTTGAACTATCATCAATAAAACGCAAATCACCACCACCAACATCAGCGAGCGGACTTATGCCAAGACGCGGGCAACATGGCATACTATTCACGCTATCACTCTCGCCGCCACCCACACTCGCTGACTCTTCATCTTCATTCAGTACATTGTCCAGACTATTGGAGCGTTGCTTTGTACGCTCGCGTTGCGGTCGACGCGCCACCACCTCACCGCGTTCGTTCAACACCAGCTCAACTGGACGCGTAATCACCATAGTGTGCTGCGTTGTGGTGGTCACCGAGCGTTTGAACTCTGAACGTTTCGTTAGCAGCAGCGTATTCGGCTCATCGCTAGGCAGGCGCGTCACCTGCACATTTCGGCTCACTTCCTTCTCCACAGTGCGTTGACTGTTTAGCGTAATGGGCGTCGTCGTCGTCGTCGTTGAGGTCGTTGAGTGCGAGATGCCCTCATAGATGGGGTTGTCTGTTAGCGCGGGTATGGTGTAAGTCGCTACGCTGGTATAGGGCGTGCGGGTAGGTGAAAGCGGTGATTTTTGTATTGGTGTTGTCGCTGTTGCCATTGGCTTGGTCACTTTTGCTGGCGTTGTGTCGGCGCGCTTCCGCATTTGCGGCGTTGCAGGGCGTGATGGCACGGCATATTTGCTACTACAGCAGCAACGCGAGCACAGCTGCGAAACACGTTTCCCGCTAACCAGTCCGCGTTTATCGTCGCTGGTGCCATCTTCATCATCCTGCAGATTATCGATAGATGCTGCAGCGCTGGGCAGGTAGCACTGCCCCTTCTTATTAGTGCCGCCAACGCCTCCCAGCCCCGGCAGCTCAGCTGGCGACACATAGAAGGTGCTCTTGCCACTGAGGTCGATGCAACTGCGCTGGAAATGCTTGCCACCGTCTTGCAATACACCGGCCTTCTTGTTCTTTGGCTGTCGGCGTAGCGACGAGAACCAGTTTGAGATGCTTGGCCGCTTCTGGTGTTGGTAATGCTGCAGGGAAGCCATGTCGGTGCAAAAGACTGTTGATTGCTAACCAGTTGAATGCTTGTGGTTGAGGAGTTGTGTGTTCGAGTGCGAGTGCGAGTGCGAGTTATAATTTTCTCGTTAATTTGTTGCACTTCTTTTCCTGTCTCGAGTTGTTGACTTTTTTTCCGCGTGCGTTCTGTTTTATTTCGTTTATCCAGTTCTTGCACTACAAATGAATTAACTTCCTTTGGTATTCTTTGATTATTTTCTTTTTGTTGTAAATTTTTACGACTTCTGCTTAATCACTTGTTGCCACTTGTTGTTTGCTGGCACATACGTACACCTTGTAGCTTTTTAAGAAAAAAAACCAGTTCCTGTTGCTCATTACACGTCGAAATTATTACGGCTTCTGCTGCTGGATACCAATTGTAGTGAAAAAAATAATTACATTTGATATTTTAAGCATGCAAGCGTTCAACTTCAATAAAATGCCACTGTATGTTGGTTCATCGTTATCGGAGTATTCGCGCAAAGTTGTTGAAGACCGAAGGAGGAATGCAGCTTAAGAGTGAAGGGGTAATTATAGTAAGGCACTTCGCGACTATTTACCGAATAGTTATTTAATCGCGGTTGAAGAGAGTGAATATATATTTTATTTTTACTTTTTTCATTTGTCTTTTCATGCCATAGATATTGCAATTAGGGTTGCTTTGCCATTTTTTCACTTTTTTTATGGACATCACATCTGCTAGCTTACTCTATTTAATTTCACTTCTATTTATTTTACTTCACCTCATCTCGCTTTATTATTTTAGCGTTTCCTGTCTTTTTATTTATTTTACTCCATTTTCTTTGCCACACTGTTCACTTCAATTCGTTCTATTCCAATTTAGGTATTTAATTTCACTCGCTCGTATAATTTATTTACAATTCTCAACTTTCTAATGTATCCATTAAAGAAAAAACACATAATTCAGAGCATTCATCGAGAGAGAGTACCACCTTTACTAATGCCGAATTTCCTCTAGGTATTGAAATGACGAAAATTGCAATTTTCTTAATGTAATTGCACACGTATTTTTAATGCCCAATTAGGCCATTAAAATTTGTGTAATTTAATACCTAGTGGAAATCTGGCATAAGCACCGCCTCGTGTGTGCAATCATCGTCATTCAACCACCACACACCGCAGACGAGGAGCTTCAGCTGCCAAGAGAGACTCGACGCAATTACAAACTGGATACTGTAGCAGGTAAAACTCCTACATATTAAAGCTCAAACAGTCAACGACGTAACGTAGACGTAGGACACGATCTACCTTATGGGATTCGCGTGTTAACGAAAACTCGCAACAGCATGGCGGTGACGTTGCCGTTGCGTCTCTCTCTCTCTCTATCAACAGTAAATTTGATATGCTGCCACGTACGTCAACCTACGTTTACGCTACGTCGTTGAATAACTGCGCTTGTACCCAGGCACGGCCCGTATTATGACGGCACCCCCAGGCCAGCAGCCATCTCTTCGCTTGCCCCATTAACTCACGTCATCTATTACCCTTTTACCTATGGTACGACCCCGTAGAAACAGCACGTACCGTGGACCACGCGTTATTTGACAACGATTGCTAGAACTTGGCAGTACTTGGCAGCCCTTGATAGTTCTACTACAACAACAAAATTTAGCGTTAAAGGCCTTTTGAAGCATAGGCTCGATACATTTTTTCACATACTTCTTGGAACATATTTAACCCACAGGAAGGAATGAAATTAAGAAGCTGTCTTTGCTCACCCAAGCGCTGAAACTTTCAATCGGGACGGGAGCAGTACTCGAACTCCTCCTCTACGCGCTTTGGTCTCGTCGTCCTCTCCTACGTCCGAGCGTGTGCACAAATGCGGCTAATGTTGGCGAATTTAGCTTCGATGCGGATTGAAGCAATTCGTTTACTGATGGGGGGTAAACCTGGAGTCAGAGTGCCGCAGTCTAAGCCCAATCACAAATCCTGCATCGAACTTGTGTGCAGTCTCATGACAGCACAGCAATAATAAACGTCGTAAAATAATTGTATTTCCTACGTATAGTTTTTAGATTTTGACTTTTATAAAAAAAAAACACATTAAGGGAATTCGCTCTTATGTGTATTCGATGTATGTTGTGTAATCGTAACTGCATGAGCGTGTGATTTGTTGTTGCTAACGGTACATCAAATGCACATGCAACAACAACCACACGCTCGTCCAGCTACACTTACCCAGGATAAAGCGAATACACAGAAGTGCGAATACCACTATTGCATCCTCCAGCAGTAGTACCAGTCATCATACGATAATCCCATCGAACTTGCTACCTCTCTTCCATAAGTCAAACAGGTCCTGGGGAAAGCGCTTCTCTTGTTCTTCCGTATAGGATCCGAGACTATCTTAAGATTTTAAAGCTCTCCAGTGTAGTTACTTGACTTACAATTTCGCAGAACATTTTTAGTAACTTCAACAAACGAAGTCCATGCCGGACGTTCCAGATTGTTCATTGAATTTCAGAAATCCGAATACTTTATTAATGTTCTTAATTGAGGGTCATCGAAAAGTTTCGCTTTTATATTTTCTGTGCTTAGAGCAGGAAATTTTTTCATTATATAACAAAGATATTGTCCATTATTGTCTAGAGGCTTAACAAATTGTTTCATAAGGCCCAGTTTTATATTTATATATATAGGGTGGGCGATCTCTTGAAACAAAAAGGGGATTTACGATATTCCTCCAGACTCATTTCCCGAACAAGTTATTGCACATCTGAACAAAAAGCAATACAATTATCTGAACGAAAAAGTGCTAGCAAGCCTTGATTTCTTGTACAATAGAACGTTAATTTTGCAGCCGGCGCTAACAAGTGTTTTCTTTTAATCTAGAAAACAAAACTTCTGTACATTCTTTAGATAGTTCCCGACATCTTATGCATTCATTTAATTCCTCTCGAATGAAAGGTTTAGACTTTGTAGACACTATACCTTCTAAATCACTCTTACTGCTCAAATAAAATGTGTTATACGTACTTCCTCTGAATGCGTTAAGGGTACTCTGGGCGATTCTAAATCTGTATAAATCATTTTTTTAACGTTTCGTTGAGTTAGGAGGGCGTGTGTGGAATAATCCACACTTTCATTCGGAGGCAGAATTGCCCATTGTGTTTTTGCCCTCTTTTAGTGAGTGTCAGGAGTAGACACGTACCTATATCGAAAGAGTATCTTTAAGTGATTATTTTATTGAACCAATTACTATCCCTGATGAAGCCGAGGAGATCCAACAGTTCCACCTCTGCTAGTTCACCCAGCCTGTTGGAAAAGCGTGAACGCAAGTAATTGAGTCGCTTCGTCTGTAGACCTGGACATCGACACAATTAGTGGTAGATTTTCGGAACCTTCTAACTATGCATTCATCACAAATGTAACAAAATACATATGGCTCATTGAGACAACTTCTTTACGATGAAAACATATGATTAAAATCAATTTATATATAAAAACGTACCGATAAGACTTAAGAACGCGCCCACAAATGGTTTGGTTACAACCAATATACAAAACTGGCATTAAATTCAAAAGCACAAGTAGGAAGAAAAGTAAAAAAAAATATATTTTTAGTTAGTACTGTCAATGCACACCTTATAACAAACCACTAACGATATCTCGGCACCATACATAAGCATGATTTCTTAAGCTTGATGAGAACTACAAATGAGAGCAAAAGAAACTGACAAAACAGAACCAGCACAAACTAAAGCGAGGGGTTATTAAGCGATTCAAAAGCTGTTTTCCAACACGTTTTCAAAATCTCATAAGCACTTTTTCTAAACAAAAACCGGAAATTAAAACTTAAACAACTTCTGAAAGCAATTTTTTTTCACAGTACAATTCAATAGATGTTCAACAATTTTCGAAGTCGCCAGCAAACTAAACAATTTATTTACAGAAGCTGCTGGAACAACACTTGACAGCAAATAACCCATTTGCAATGCTTCACAATCAGCCAAGAAATAAACTAAATATTTCATTAGACAACCAAAGCGTTCAATAGTAAATATGTACACATGTATGTATGTATGTGGCAGCAGGAAGGTTTTACACTGTAATGACTTTTTGGCACAATAATTAAGCTGAGACGCTGCCGCCACAGCCACAAACGACCTGAAGGAGCAACAAACAACGACAAAATCTTCTCAAATAAGGAGGCAACCTTTGAAAAACATATTAAGAACAGAAAGACTTTGGCTTCTTTGCAATACATGTGTACACAGAAGACCGTCTACGCCAAAAGAGACATTGCAATAAAGTCTGAAAGTTATAACCTTAATTTACGTAACTTTTACAAGAAACAAAGGCGTAAAAGTAATAGAGTAGCGGCGGAAGAGGTGCAAAGTAAACACTCTATGAAATATATTACATAGCGAAAAGGAGAGCTAGAAAAGGATGTGAGACGCATAAATTACAAAACACTAAATGGTATGCTCAATTTAAAATATACGAAGCGGAAATAGTGAACTGTTTTTAATGGTATTGACTCCTCAAAGTAAGAAAACGACAACAAGGCTTTTCGTAGAACATTTATGCAACCAAAAGAAACTTACACTACATAAATAGACCAACCAACACATTTGTGCATACATACATACATTCATATGCTCAAAGCAATACTATTTTAAAAGGAAAATCGCAAGGACTTTGCTTTGTGTTTGTAAAATAAGGAGCAATCACATTTTATGATCCCTACTGAAAGATGTGAATGCTGCTCGGTTGCTAATCAGCACTACACCGCTGGCATTTGACAGTTTTGTTTCTTTTTGTTTGGCAATTCACACGATTAACTATTGAATAGTATTTGCTTGCTTGCTTGTGACCGGCATACACAACTAGAAACATATACTATGCATACACAATAGGGTGGGGCAAAAATACATGCCGGGGGAAAAAAGTTTAAAATGTTAAGCTCTCATCAACTAGGATTTTTCTAAATGAAAAAAAAAAATGTCGTATTTATTTGCTAAAAAAAAATTTTGAATTTAGAACTGCCTGAAAGCCCATGAAGTTTTCCATGTATTTTATATGGCGAAAAAAAGCACTTTTCGTAGAAATCGCAAAGCATTTTTCAAAGTCAATTTTTTCGATTGGAAAAATTTTTTCCTCTTTAGGATAGTTCCAATAAAAATACTCTCTAAATATTTTTTTTTATTTCAAAATTTAAATAATAACAGGGTTATAACTTTTTTCGGTACAGAACAATCCTAGGGGATGAGAGCATTAAAATTCCGACTTTACTTTTTCATATGAATTGTTGGACCACCCTAATACACAAGCTACACCACAATGCTTACTACTTTACTACTGTGGTTGCTTTATTACTACTATTATCATTATCATTCGAATATTCCAAAAACGGCGCTATAAAGTAGACAATAACACTCGAAATGGTAATGGCGTCAGACGACGAGTTCACTCAAAAGGCTGAGTTTTTGAATAGCGTAGCACTTTTTTGACTAGTATCGTAAAACGAGTAGTATCTTCACATACGTGCATACATGCACTTTACGGATAGTTGCAACCACAGGTAGCGCCCGATAAACGCTTACACAAAACAATACTCAATCAATTCAAATCAAAACACACCCTACAGCGGCGTTGTACGCGTAGATACGTGGGAAAGATAAGTGATAGACAAACAGGTAGCTGTTTGGTGTATGTCGAGAGCGAAAAAAAACTTTTCAACGGAAACCAAAGGTCATTGGAAGAGAATGAACTCGGTCAAACAATAAGACAAATAAGCCTAGTGGCACAGTGCTTAGAGATTGACGAAAAAGAGGAAGAAGAAATAAATGTAGCGATCTTTTAGTAATTTATTCAACTTATTAAATAATTTGAATGTAATTTTTTAAACACGTGGCAACTCTTTTCAAACATTCTAAAGGTTCAAACTAAATTTTTATATTTCAAATAATTTGCGTTTAAATTAATTAAATTCGAGTTTTTAAGCAAAAGTAGTTTCAAGCTAAAACCTTAAATATCCTTCGTCTGACATTGTGATGCGTATTTTAATTAACTGATGAATTTAGCTGAATTTTATTTTCTGGACATGTGGCAACCCTCTCACATATGTAGTTCAGAAATAACGACTCTTGAAACCCATTTTGATTGACACCAATATTTTAGTAATGCATTTGACTTATTAAATAGTTTGAATTGAACTTTTTAGACGGGTGGCAACCCTCTTTAAGTTCCTCAAAAATATTTTAAGTGTTAAAACTAAAAGATTTTTAACACTCGTTTGTTTGACATATTTAATATTTAATTGTGTATAAGTAAACTAAATTCTACTTTTGAAAAAAGTGGCAACCCGCTTTAAGATATTTACTAACTACTACCTTCTTACACTCTTTTCGTCTGGCGCCCATATGGTGATACATATTTCTATTAACTTAAGCCCATACTTCGAATTTAGTGTTAATTTTTTTTAACAGCTGGCAACCCTGCTACTGTTAAATTGAGTAACAATACTTTTTAAACCCATTTCGACTGATATCTAATTTGTAAAAAAGTCGTTAAACTTTTTAGATAATTTTAACTTAATTTTTGCAAAAGGTGGCAACTCTTTAAATTTCTGGACAACCTTCTTAATCTCCTTGAACATTCGAATATCAAACACTCGCTCCTTTTATACGAATTTTGTATGGCTTTATCACATTGTATATCGCTTAGAATTAAAAATTAATGAAGCCAAAGAAATGGTTGTGAAAGCAAGCCATAGACTTCTTAAGAAGATACAATGAAATAATGTTGCACGTAACTGCATAGAATCAATCACTTTATCGATCTCTACTTTTTTTCAACAAACGCAAAGAAGCACGCGTATGTACGAATAACACAAGCCGATTAGCGGATTCTCATACGCACCACAAAGAAGCCACACCAAATATCAATGATTTGTAGATGCACTTAAATGACAAGCAAAATAAACCCACAATTAACTCTTTGCAAAGGTAGATGAGAAAAAGAAAACAGTCGATGCTCCATATAAGCGGCCACATTGAGGTAAAACCACCAACGGCGGCACACCACCGTCGCAGCACAATACAGCAGTGAAGCAATGAACCGAGAATCCGATTAGACGCCGACACAAGGCGGCACGAGTGCGATATGTAGAGAGTTCA